TTTTTTTTTTTTTTTTTTTTTTTTTTTTTTTAAATTTCATAATTGTTGTCCGCTTATTCGAAGCGTGTGTAGGAGTTTGATGAAAAAGAAATTGCGCATTCGTTGATTGAACTAAAATAAACAGGTTAGGTGCTAAAAAGTCTTTATATGATGTTTTTTCAGCTTCCGAGACAAGACCTATCAGTTGCATACTGCAAACACTTATCAAACAATGTTGAGAGAAAAATTTTTGAAGAGTTTATTAATGCACGAAATGAAATTGCTCTAGACATCGGTTTTGTATGCCCAAATATTCCAAAACAAATGGTAAGTATAAAAATTTATATTGCGGCTTTTACTGCAGCCAAATTAACGTTATTTTGTACATTCACTTCTAGAATCATCAAAACGTTGCGTCTTGATGGGTATTTTTTAAAAAACTGTTTGTTTTGAAAGGTAACAATAAGGTGATATTTTCATGTCACTTCTTCATTTTTTTTTTTTAAAGCAAATGGTAGTGATAATTTTTTGACTGTTCAAATGTGAGTTGTTAGCAGAAGGTAAGATATGTAGAAAAAATGTGTAATTTGTTTATTCGTTTTATTCTTCTGGTTTTTTCTTACTTTTTTTGTTCTAGGAATGCCGAAAATGCAGCGGAGTTCTTGAAAAAAATGAAATGGCTGTTATGGCACCAAAACTAGGTGAAAACTGTGGTTGGCATCCGGCGTGTTTTATATGCACCACTTGTGAACAGGTTTAGTTTTATTCACATGGATTTAATTTATCTTCTTATTCTTTTCTTGTTGCAACTTTATCTTAATGGTGTTGATCAGTTGAACCTGAAATAGTTGTGGGACGTAATTGAAAGCGAAAAGCAGAAAAAAAAATTGACGACGGCAGTTAGATTGGCAAGGATATATTGCCGATACGTGTATAGGCAGATGACTGTATTTGATGAATTAAAGTGAATTAGATATTAGGTGTTGGCAACTAGTAAGAATGTGTATTTAGTAGTGAACTGTGGTCGTGCGGTGGCAACTGTGATTGGCTTCGCTTTTTTCTCTACTATAGATCCTAAAAAAACCTTTTTTTATTGTCATTCTCTTCCTCCTTTTTGCCTTATGTTTTCTAATAAAGTAGTTTATTTAGATGGTTTAGGAATAATTTTATTTTATAATTCTCTGATAGGATCCTTTTTGAGCAGGGAGTCTGACTGTGGCCAAAAAAAATTTAGCTAAAAGGCTAGAGTTCTTAACAATTATTGTTGCTTAGTTTTTGTTTCCTTCGGTAATTTTTTATATTGTTTTTTTTTTTTTGATTTTTGACAGAAGTTGTTCAGTAATTTAAAAACAGAAGTAAAACGAGGCAAAAACGCAAAAAAAAAAACGCGAGAGTGGTAGTGGAAACTTTTTTCTACTGCTTTTCTACTTTTTTTTAAAAAAAAAGTAAAATCACTAATTGTTTGTTTGAAGAAACCAATTTTCATTATTTAGCTGTTGATTGATCTAACATATTGTGTCCGCGATGGTCTAATATATTGCGAACGGCACTACGCCGAGCTGTACAAACCGCGATGCAACGCATGTGATGAGGTTACCATTTTCACTTTTTTTGAAACAGCTTTTTCTTCGTCTTCACAACGTCTCTTTCTACTTATTCTTTTCCTGTATCTTTATCAACAAAATTTTCTTCTTCTGCTCATCATTTCAGCATTTCTATCCAGCTTTCCCAGTGTTTTTTTATTTGAGAGTTTATTTAATAGCGGTATAAGTTTTCCTGACTTTAAGAGGACCACCGTTAACTTCAAATCGGGCGTCTTCATTTCAGGATTGGCCGTTGGCAACGCCTTTTTGCATTGTATGTTTGGGTGTATCAGAGTAAATGGTTTAAAACGGGGCAATCTCTTCGTTCCGTTGGTGTTTTTTTTCTGTAATCTCTCGACAACTATTTTGATACTACATCTTTTGCTGTTGTTGTAGTTTGTTAGTGATGGAGAAGTCGGGGGATGGATAGGTGAATTGTTGCGAACAAAACTTTATTTCTTTCTTGTTAGTGTCTAAAAAATTGATCCATAAAAGAAAAATTAGAGGCTGTAAACAATGCTATACAAATTTCTACAGCTTTCTTGTTCACCAACATTCTCTTTTGCTGGGAGTTTT